AAATCTTTCAAAGTGGCCGGGCACGGTGGCTCACGCCTGTAATCCCAGCACTTTGGGAGGCCGAGGCGGGCGGATCACGAGGTCAAGAGATCGAGACCATCGTGACCAACATGGTGAAATCCTGTCTCTACTAACAAATACAAAAATTAGCTGGGCATGGTGGCGCGCGCCTGTAGTTCCAGCTACTCAGGAGGCTGAGGCAGGAGAATTGCTTGAACCCAGGAGTTGGAGATTGCAGTGAGCCGAGATCGTGCCACTGCACTCCAGCCTGGCACCTGGCAACAGAGTGAGACTCTGTCAAAAAAAAAAAAAATCTTTAAACGTTAGAAAAAAGCCTTTAAAACCATATTAGATCATGTTATGATAAACTCTCTATTACACTTTTTTACAGTAGCAACATCAATGCTGCTTGAACATAAAACCTGTCATCTACATCAATCTTTTTATCTTCCAGTATTTTTATATTGATCATTTTACACCCACAACCTTGAAGGTAGGGTAAATGTGGTGACGGAGGCTCGATACATTCTTATAATACATACAATCCGAAATTGCCTCAAGGGAAATGGTATAGTATCCTGGTCCTCTGAAGTCTACTTCCACTGTTTCTCCAACCCCCATCTCTGTCCCTCCAATACCTAGTACTCTAAAATGAGTTTACAAAAATCAGTTGCCATCCAAAACATCTTTAAGTAGTTATCTGATATGGTGCATTTACAAAATTATGTATGTTATGTTACAGGCTTTACCCAGACCTTGGGCCTGTTCTTGAGTTCTGAAAATGACTAGAATCTTCCATTATTTCCAGGTTTCTTCAATTCTCCATGCTGTCTTAGACTCTCCCATTCACTCGCCCCTATTTCTTGTCCTGGGACCAAAAGGTTGCCAGAGGCAGCCAGTGTGAATATTCTCATCTTCTAAGATGGGCACACTGGCTCACCTAGGCAGGTAACTCAGTAAATGGTAACTGGAGCTATCACTGTCCTTTGCTAGCAATGGCTATTTTCCTAAACCTACCAAATTCCTATTCTCGGGGCCTCTTTCGTGCTCCATCTGTTGCAGGGAAGCCTCCCCTAACTGCTCCTTGTCCACATGAATGCATTCTTCCCTTGTCTCCTACAGTAATTGTTTATCTTTAACACTTGGATCCTAGTTTTCTTATTGTTGGTTCTGTAAAACACGTTTAGTAGTCAGAGATACGGGTTCAAATGCTAGTTCAGAAGCTATTAGGTTTTAAGCTAAACTTTTCTGAATCTCGATTTTCACATGAGAAACAAGGATAATCCTTTTTCAGGCAAATGAGGATGACAGTTAATATATTTAAGTACTTAGCTTTCCTCCACCTGACAAATAGTAGATGCTCAGTAAATGCTGAAATGAAAAAAAAAAAAAAAAAAAAAAAAAAAAAAAAAAAAAAAAAAAAAAAAAAAAAAAAAAAAGAGGCAGGACCCACGTCTTATTCTTCTCTTATCCCTTAATTAACCTGGCATGAGCTACAAGGAAAGACCTATATGACTGTTAGTTTTCCTTATTCATAGCTCACAGAGCTCACCTCTTGTCTCAGGAAGCCAAAGTGAGTATTGTTTTTTTCCCTTCACAATTATAATTACTGTGCATGAGTGTCATCACAGTCAAGGTACTAGTAATACTTTTTATAAGACTAATTTGCATAGTATTTTATCACTTTTAAAGGTAAGGTTTTGTGGGGTTTTTTTGGATGTTGTCTCATTTGTTTTTTCTAGCAACTCTTGGAATGCAGGTAGAGAAGGTATCATTAAACACGATATACTAGAAATCTATTTATTATTTATTTTTGAGACAGGGTCTTTTTCTGTTGCCCAGGCTACAGGGCAGGAGTGTGACTGTGGCTGACTGCAGCCTCAATCTCCTGTGCTCAAGCAATCTTCCCGCCTCAGCCTCCAGAGCAGCTAGGACTGTAGGGATGTGCCACCATGCCTGGCTAATTTTTTAAGTTTTTGTAGAGACCAGGTCTCACTATGTCACCCCAGCTGGTACATACTAGAAACCTAAGTTCAGTTTAGAGTGGTTAACATCAGGAATACCACTTTTACCTTAACTTACAGTTTACAAAGCATTTTAATATCCATTTTCTTGTTTGATGATGACTTAAGATCCTAACAGCACTTAAAATGTAATACCCTTAAAGTCTTTTAGATATCAGTGGACACTAAACTTAGGGCGATCTGTTTTTTGTGGCTGCTACAAATAACCAAGATTTTTTTTAAAGAAAATTTCAATTAGTGCATGCTTCAACAACATGGGTTTGAAATGCACAGGTCCACTTGAATGTGGATTTAAAAAAAATGAAAGTTGCACCAACTGTGCCTTGCTCCTCCTGCCTCCTTTCCTACCTCTTCCACCTCTACCACATCTGAAACGGCTAGATCGAGCCCCCCTTTCTCCTCCTCCTCAGCCTACTCAACATGAACATGAGGATGAAGACCTTTATGATGACCCATTTCCACTTAAAGAAGAGTAAATATATTTTCTCTTCCTTACAATTTTCTTAATAACATTCTTTTCCCTAGCTTACTTTAAGAATACAGTATATAACACCTGCACCATACCAAATATGTGTTAATGGACTATTTGTTATCAGTTAGGCTTCCAATCAACAGAAGTAGTTAAATTTGAGGGCAGTCAAAAGTGACACTCAGATTTTCAGGGGGTGGCAGGGTGGGGGTTAGGATCGGTACCCCTAACTCCAGCAGTGTTCAAGGGTCAACTGTATATTGCCTCCACTGTAAACCAGGGGTGGATTTAATGTCTTGTCCCCAGCCTAAAGAAAACTAACCCCTGCAAAGGCAATGCTTTATTATTTGTAAACAAATACACACACACACACACACACCCCTATTATGTTGAAAATAAAACTTTGTGATTTTCTCAATGTATATACATTTTTCATAATTGTTTTGTTACATAAATGATACACTGTATCAGCCTTCTGTTCCTTTTTTCCCCAATAGTTTGAGATTTATTCATATCAATATTCATCCATTTTAGTTGTTTTCAATGTATAAAACAAAGTTATTTTTTCATTATATTTCTGCAGGTGTTGGCAAAAGTACTCTGTAAGTTAGGGGTCCCCAACCCCTGGGCCGAGGAGCAGTATTGGTCATGCCTATTAGGAACCAAGCTGCCCTGCAGGAGGTGAGTGATGGCCAAGTAAGCATTACCGCCTGAGCTCCACCTCCTGTCAGATCAGCAGTGGCCTGTGAATTGCACATGCAAGGGACCTAGGCTGCACACTCCTCATGACAATCTAACTAATGCCTGATGATCTGAGGTGAAACAGTTTCATCCCGAAACCTCCCCCCTTACCCCTGTTCATAAAAAAACTGTCTTCCACGAAACTGGTCCCTGGTGCCAAAAGGGTTGGGGACTGTTGCTATAAGGGACCGAATAGCAAATATTTTACGATTTGCAGAACATACAGTCTCTGTCAAATATGATTTTTAAAGAACAGTTCTTTTAAACAGTTGTGACAGGGTCCCCAAAACCACTGTCCAGTTCAATGACTCACAGAGCTCAGAAAAGTGGTTATGTTGACAATTGCAGTTTATTAGAACAAAAGTACAGTTTAAAACCAGCTAAGATTTTAAAAGGCAGATAGAAAAGAGTTCCAGAGCAGGGGCAAGCTTCCAGTTGTCCCATCTGACAGGAGATGCATGCACAACATTTAATCCTCTTGAATGTGGGTCATTTATGAAATATCAACCAGAGAAACTGAGACTTGGTGTCCAAGGTTTTTATTGTGTATTAATCACAGACATGGAGAATGGAAATGGCAGCTGTTATTCAGTTTCTACTTCCCCCAGAGATTAAATTGATACTTCAAGGTGCAATGCCCCCACCATAAATCTGTAGCATCAGCTATCTGGTGTGATCAAAGGCTCCAGGTAAACAAAGGCCTTCTGTCACGCAGGGTATTCCAAGAGCTTAGCTTGTGATCTCGCAGGAGTAAGGAGTAAGGAGTAAATTGAGGACTAGACCTTTCAATTTTTTTTTTTTTTTTTAAGATGGAGTTTCACTCTTGTTGCCCAGGCTGGAGTGCAATGGCATGATCTTGGCTCACTGCAACCTCTGACTCCTGGGTTCAAGCGATTCTCCTGCCTCAGTCTCCTGAATAGCTGAGGTTACAGGCATGTGCCATCAAGCCTGGCTAATTTTGCATTCTTAGTAGAGACAGGGTTTCTCCCATGTTGGTCAAGCTGGTCTTGAACTTCTGACCTCAGGTGATCTGGAGGGCTAGACTTTTCTTTCAAAGATGCAGGGTTGCAGCATGCCAAATCTATTAAGTCACTCCTTTTATACACATGTCAAAAATGTTCTTAGCTTATGGGCCAGGGAGTAGATCTGACTGGAGACTCTAGTGCCAAATGTCTTCTAAGTTACCTTTTTCTTCCTGCTATTTCAGTAACTGCTGTAAGAAACATCCTTGTACATTTTTCACTGTATACATACACCATATATTAACAAAGACAGAGGTATCTTCTTTCAGAAATACGTAAAATTGGACATACATAAAATAGGCAATTCTCTTTAAAAGGAAATCAGTCTCTAAAACTAATCACTAGAACCCCAAAGTTATTTAGATAAGAATTTTCAGTCTAAGAAAACTGAATTTATGATTTATTGAACTAAATATAAAAATTTTGTATTAGATACTAATAGATTGAAGCAAAGGTCTCAAGAAATATTCAATTTAAGTATCATACATATTTTACCATAAGTAATAAACTGCTGTTGCTTTTCTGCTATTTCACATAAAGAGAAAGAAACTTTTTTGGTTAAATTGTTTTATTACACATATGTTCCCCTAATCTGAATTGTAACCTCTGTATGAATGTCAATGCTATGGAAAAAAAAAAAAAAGCCTTGTCAAAATATGACCAATATAGGAGACTGATAGTTTACAAACTGCATTTGTTAGTATCTATAAATGTAGATAAATTTAGCAAAATACTGGAGAGTTTTTTTCCCCCGTCTCTAAAGCTAAGGCTCTGTTTTACATCAATGTGATTTCTAGTTTTTGAAAAAAGCAATTCAGTCTTCTGTCTCCCTCCAACAAATGGCTACAATAAGCTTTAAGGGTTCTGACAATTTCTATACCTAAATATGATGCAAACTTTATTTTTGTAAAAACACAGATGTTGAACTGCTGTTATAAGCAATGTATAATTTCAACTTTACTAAAGTATGAATTGTTTTGTCAACGTGTTTGCCAATCGTTGCTATTATCTGACTGGATGTGAAATGTTATCTGGCTGTGCTGACTGGCATTTCCTTGACTACTAGTGAGCTAAAACATTTTCCTGTTAATTGACCTTTTGGTTCTCTCTCATATATTGCTCATTTATTGCCACCCCCTTAAGAAGTCCTTTATGTAATTTGGACACTTCCTTTGTTAGTTACTGGTAGATAATTGTAAAGTGCGTACCTTGCAAGTCTGTGGCTGGCCTTCTAATATTTAGTTTTTTGTCACACTTAAATTTCTAGTGTTAATACGGTCAGATGTGTGAATCGTTTTCTTCATGCTTCCCACTTTTTTGAGTCAAACCAACAACTCCTTCCTTACGTTGGTTCAAATTTTCCTGTATTTCCTTCTAAAATATTTAAAATGGTACTTCCCCCACCCACTTTTAGGTCTTTAATCTACCAGTTTTTAAAAATACGGTGTGAGAAGGGTAAATAATTTTTTTCACATATGGACATGCAATTGTCCCAGTGCCATTTATTGAAAAGTTACTCATTTCTCCACTCTGTCACATATCAAGTTCTCATGTATCTGTTTCTGTACCGTAGATTTACATGTCTATCCTTGCATCACAAGGGCTGTGTTATCACTATAGTTTTATATTCCCTACTTTCCTTTATGATAGGAACTCCCCTAACCTTATTTTCCCTTTTTAAAAAAAATGTCAGCTTTTTCTTTCCACATTTAGGTTAGGTTGATTAAATTCCATAAACAGTTTTGTTGAGAATTTGATTGGAACTTCAGTGAATTTATAGATTTGGAGAGAATTGATGCTTTAATGTACTGATTTTTCCCATCCACAAACATATAATATTGCTCCACTCATTTCAGTCTACTTTTACAAAATGCTTGCATATTTTTATTGGATGTATTATTAGGTCCCCTAGAGTTTTAATTGTGAATGAAATTCTTTCAAATAATACACTTTGAAACATACTATTTGAAGTGGAAAATAACACTACTAATTCTTGCAGATTGGTCTTATATCCAAAGCCTCTCCACTTTCACATTAGTTATATATACTACTTTGTAGTGTTCCTTGGACTTTCAAACAAACAATGATCTTGCCCACTGACAATAACTGTTTTTCCCTTTCCAATCCTTATGCCTATTATTTCTTCTTCCAGTGCAACACAGAGCGGACGTATTAATACGACAGCCCATTCCTGCACTATTGCTGCCATGAAGGAACATCTCTAAAGCTGTACCATTAACTTATAACATTAACCATGAGTTTTGGTACACTATCATTTGTTGTACTAATAATGTTTTTGCATCTATTAAGAGGCTGTTTTATTTTTAAAATCTTAAGTGAATATAACTTACATTTTGCTGGTTCTCCCCTCCAACCCCCTGCATTCACTGCGATAGTAATATGCCTTTTCTCTTTACTCTATTAACATAGGATATACTATCTGAAAAGATTTTCCAATGTTAAATCATTCTCCCATATGGAAATAATCCTTACTTGGTCACAATGAATGTGTTTAACAAACCATCCAGAGCTTGTGGATTATTCAGAGTTGATTTTAAAAAATAGATTCAGACTTACTTATTAATATATATTTGGCAACACACATCAAAAAATATCTAAAATTTCAGATTTATCCACATAAATTAACAACATTCTAAATCAAATAATTTCATATGCTTTCATGTCTTATTTATTTCCTGATACCAAGTTGTCTTTTATAAAAAAACATTTAGACAGGCAGGGTCTCGCTCTGTTGCCCAGGCTGGAGTGCGCTGACACAATTATAGCTCACTGCAGCCTCGAACTCCTGGGCTCAAATTCCTCCTGCCCCAGCCTGCCAAGTAACTGGGATGACAAGTGCATGCCACTACACCCAGTTAATTTTTAAAATTTTTGTGGAGACAAGGTCTCGCTATGTTGTCCAGGCTAGTCTTGAACTCCTGGCCTTAAGTTATCCTCATGCCTCAGCGTCCCAGTGTTAGGATTACAGGCATGAGCCACTGTGTTTGGCTAAGTTGTTTTTCTCTTATTGATCAATTTTGCCAGGCAAATGATAACCTCTACCCTGATTCTATCACCACAAATTACTTTAAAATGTTCCTTTATGCTTTATGTCCTTTAAACAGTTGCCTACCCCAAAGTATGAAGATATCTGTTTTATTACGTCCTTTCTCATTTAAACCATATTCCACATGGAACTGATTTTTCTGTATATATGGTGTCAAGGAAGGGGTCTAGTTTGTCCCCCAACACAGCTATCTAATTGACTGTACCACTGCAATAGTTTCCCTTTCTCATAAATCACAGATGACCTAAATGTGTGGATCACCATATATACAGAATTCTATCTATTCTGTTACTTTAATCTATTTGCCTATCTTATGCCAGGCAACATCAGTGTTAATTACAACTATACTTTTATAATCACAGGTCTTATGTCTGTTGGTGAACTTTTTCAGTTTTGTGGTTCAAGTTTACCTTGGGTATTCTCTGTCCTTTGCATTTCTTCAGTTTGTCAATTTCTCCAGCATACTGTTGGGATTTTGATAATATCATATATTGAAGTTACAGATTAATTTACAAAACTGCCAAGTCATGAACATGGTATAGCCACATATTTAGAATTTTTAAAATTTCTTAAATGATTAAAAAAATTGTATTTATTTTATGCTAGTGTGAATGGTATAATTTTTATCAATTTCTATTTGTTTCTGATATATAGAAATACAATTTCTGTATAGTTTGTATTCAGTGACCTTGATAAGTTCATTATTTTGTTTGTTGAGTCTTTTGAAATTTCTATGCACATAACCAGTTGTCTATAAATGCTATTACTTTCTTCTTTCTAAACATTGCATCTTTTTACTTCAGGTCTTATTTTATTGGCTAATATCTCAAATGTGTTAAATGGTAGATATTATTACTGTTTTTAGACTTCAAAGAAACAATATTTTGACTTTCTCTATTATGTGTTATTTCATTTAGTCTTTTATTATTTCCTTGCTTTTCTTTTTCTAACTTCTTGAAAATAGTTTAGGTCATTGATTTTCAGCCTTGCTTCTTTTCTAATGTATGCAAGTAAGTCTATACATTTTCCTTCATGCACTGCTTAGCTGCAACTCACATGTTTTGGTATGTCGTATTATACACTCGAAATTATTTTGAAATTTGTTTTATTCATTGACCCAGGGACTATCAAGAAATCTGTGACATAATTTCAAAGTAGTTGGGGGTTCCTCTAATCATCTCTGTTTTTTTCTAGTTTAATCTCACTGTGTTAGAGAATGTAAGATAAATGCTTTTGAACTTTTGAGATTGGTTTGCTTTACGATTCAGCATAGAGTAAATTTGCATAAATTATTTACTTGAAGAAAATGTGAATTATGTTTTTTAAATCAAGTATTCAATATATGTAAATGTCGATTATTTTACATCTGATTTTTTTGGGGGGAGGGTCTGGATATTCTATCAGCTATTGAAAAAGCTGTGTAAGCCTTCAACTATGGTTAGAGACTTACCTATTTCTCATCTTATTTGTCATTCTTTCTTTACGTATTTGAAATGTTTTCAACACATACAGATTTAGGATCTTTATGTGTTTTGGTGAATTAATTCCTTCAACATTATAAAAGAATGATTTTTGCCTTAAATCTCATTGCATGATAATACCACAAACTGTTTTTATTTGGTTTGCTTACTGTATATTTCCCCCCACGCATTTACATTCAACATTTTTGTATGGCCTTATATTTAAATACGCTTCTTGTAAGCAGTATGTAGTAGGGAATTTTTAGCCTGATAAATTTTCAATCTTAATTCAAGTAATAACTCATCTAAAGTGTTTGTGTTTATATTTTGCAACTTTAAATTTGACCCATCTGTTTTATGTTCCCTTTTTTGTTCTTGCCTTCTTTTAAATACTTTTTGCCTCCATTAAATTGTTAGGTATACATTCTATTAGCCTTTTAGTGCTTAACAGATTACAACATGCACGCTTGTCTTCATAGTCTAAAAAAAAGTAATTTTACCATTTTACCTACCTAATGCCAGAAACTGAGGACAAACTCTAGTACAAACTTCTCCTGCCTCTTGTTATTGTAGGTGCATTTTAATTCCACAGGTATTTTAAACCTCAGAATTTAATACATCCAATATTCCTTCAAATTTAGCCACATATTTACCATTTCCATTGCTCTTCATTTATTCCTGCATTCTAGGATTTAACTTGGAATCACCTGCTTGTGCCTCTTGAAGAACTCTCTTCAACATTTCTTTCAGTGTGTATGTACCGAAGACAAATTTCCACTTTTCACTCACAAGTCTTAATTTTGCCATCACATTCGTAGTGGATCTTTTGTTTCTTGCCCATTCTTCCTTATCTGGAATGTGAGCACTATAGCCACCATTTTTTGATCTTGAAGACACATTCTACATGGTAGAGAGTGGATCATAAAGAACAGACTCCACTGATGTTGTGGAGTCACAGTACTGGACACCTGGACAGCCTACATCTGAAAGAAAAGCAAAAGTGCAACAGTTTAAGCCACTGCAACATTGGTTCTGTTTCCAAAAACAAATATTATTCCTGATATGTCTTTGGTCAACTATGGACATTTCTTAGCTATTTATTGCTTCTAGTATATAACTGTTGTCTGTAATTTACATGGAAATAGTCCAGTATATACAGTGAGGTACACGTAACTTATGTAAAGTCATTGCTTAAGTCTTGCTACCATTCTGATAGAACAGTCCAGGAGGATGAACTAGTGTTCTAATCAGAGAACGCATACTCTAGTGGAAGCTATTCTAGGTACTGTTTACTGCATCTTGATCAATACACAATGTTTTAATTTTCATACTAAATGGTAGAAGTTGTTAGAGAAATTAGTGGTCTGCTGTTTAAATGGGCCTCCAATGGTGAAATTAAAGGTTTTCAGATTGACTAATAGCAGAGTAACACATCCCACCATTGCAAGAAGAGGCCTTAAGGATCCAGCATGACCTATAGCCCTTATATTTTGGGATAATGTCCTAGTCTAACCCCATAAAAGGTTTTTGTCCAGTCATGAACACACCTTTTGTTAAGGTAATAGAATCCTACTTCTTAATCTTTCAGGCAAGGCGGTGGTTACAGCACTTCAGTGGGCTGAGAGCAATTTCCTTTAGCCTGCAGAACATGCTGTAAGATCAGTTTTCTTACTCAGTTAATATAGATACATGTATATTAAGAAGTTGGTGTGAAACTGTTTTCATTATAACATAGCTGTTAGCGGGTAATTTGGCGGCAGGAGCATAAGAGAAGGAAGCCACCTGTTCCCCAATCCGTTAGGATAACGGAGATAAAACTATTGTTTTTCATTATCTAACCAGGGTTATCAACTAATTAAATACCATTTCTAGCAGTAAACAACTGTATACATGTGATTTTTAAAAGTTGGTTTTTCTCAGATTTAAAGGATACAGTATTAACTGTAACTCCAAGAAATATCTGAGTGTCTTTTACTTACCAGGCACCGTGGTAGTTTGTGTGAATATTTCACATCAATCATAACAAGCCATGAAATAGAGATTATCCCTATTTTGTTGAGCCAAAGAAGTAATATAGCTTGATCACTGTTGTATGACTAGAAAGTAGCAGGTCTATAAAATAAATCCAAGGTGTCTGATTCAAAGATAATACTGTTTAATAGTCCCATTATGTTGCTTTTACACAATTTCTGATCATAGCACTTATTAATTCATATTTAATGGACAGTTTTCTCCATTTGGCCCTTCATTACTTTATTTTCTTACTAAAAGGAAAAAAGTATGAAGGAAGGTGAAAAATTGATCCAATCCTTAGGATTACAATGGCAATTAAATAGCTGTTTAAAAAAGCAGGGGTGGGGTGGGTTGAGAATGTGGCCAGATTTTTGAGAAGACTTCTACTTGCTCAAAGACTTCTACTTCCTTTGCTCCTGGACTGTCTTCTACTCAGATGGGGAGAAAACCCTGCTTAAAAATAAGAATACAAGTTTATTCCTTCAGCAAATATTTATCATGCCAGAAAATTTATAAATATGAGTAAGGGGCTCTGTCCATCTCTGTCCTCAACAGGTTCACAATCTGAGAAGTAGACACGCAGATAAATTAGTGGTACATTTAGCACTAGTGACAGCAACTTAGCACTACAGAGTACAAGGCACATTTATGGCACAAAGAGAGGACCAAGTTTACCTTGGAGGTCTAAGATCAACATACTATTAAAACTTGACACTGGAACTGAGTTTTGAGAAATGGAATATTTTCTGAGTGCTTAGTATATGCCAGGTAATGTGTTAGGTAAGTCAGAGGTCCCCAGCCATTTTGGCAGCAGGGACTGGTTTCATGAGATGGTTTTAGCAAGAAGCTGTTCCACCTCAGCTCATCAGGCATTAATTAGATTCTCCTAAGAAGTGTGAAACCTAGATCCCTCACACGGACAGTTCACAACAGGGTTCGTGCTCCCCAGTATCTGATGCTGCCACTGATCTGACAGGAGGTGGAGCTCGGGCCATAATGCTAGCTTGCTCCCTGCTCACCTCCTGCTGTGCAGCCCAGCTCCCAACAGGCCACAGACCAGTACTGGTCAGTAGTCTGGGGGCTGGAGACTCTTGTGCTAAGTGATTTATCTAGATTATCTAATCAAATCCTCATTACAATTTAAGAGATAGGAGGCCCCATTTTACAAATGAATCCAGGTGGTTTAACCAAGAACGCATTCTACTAAATACTGTGCTCTACTGACATGCACAAACACACAATAATATAAATAAAACTGGATGTAGTCACAGAGGAAAAGGAATTTACAAACCTGTAACATTCTCATTTACATACAAGAAACATGAGGTCAGAATGCGTAAGGGATTAGCTAAAGGTTACATAGTAAAGACAGAGATATCTCAATTCCTCTATTTAAGGCCTGTCTGTTGTATGATCACTTTTTCCTAAAAATAGTTTTGTCTTCCTGGTTTTGCCTTTAACTCCTTCAAACAATCCATTAGCGCTTAGAGTTATCTCAAATCATATGCCAACTTACAAGAGAATGGGGTCATTAAATGACTGCAGCACAAGGACACACAATTTAATAGGGTTAGCTAATATTTAAAATAAGATATTTACTGTACATATATATCAGTGTTTTCTAAGCAATGATCTGAAAAGACTGAGAAACAAGTAAAAGAAGTTTGCCACCTTTTTGAACACTGCTTCTTGCATGTTCAACCTGTGACACACGGACACACATACAAGGCATAAGTTCAAATCCCAGGCTATCCAACACAATTTTAGAAGAGACTTCTCTGACATAATCTGCTCTGTGCTACCTATCTCTAGCCCTTCATATCTTGTAAAGTTTTGTTTTACTGTTGCAACAGCCCCGTAATACCTGGATCACACAAAGCTTTTTAGGCACTTTGATTAGTGTTTCTAATGTTATTCCTTGATAATCTTTTATCTGCCTTGTCTGAGCTGCCTGAGACATGCTTAATCTTTTTTTTCATACGTAATGAAATAATACAGACCATTTATCTGCTCTGTTGGAAGTGAATGGTTTGAATGCTTGCATGAAAAAGTCTAACTTCCATAGGATCCAAATAAAAACACTAACGTTCTTATAATGCAGTTTTAAAAACACACGTTAATTAAAGATTCAAGGTGGATGACTTTTAAGATTGACTAGGGTACACATCATATGAATTGGTGGTAGACACTGAGGGAGCTCACATAAGCTTGGGAGCAAAATAAATAGAAATAGTACTTACCTTTTGTTGCTAGCAATGTGCAGGGTCCACCACATAGTTATCTAGTCCTCATAACAACATGATGTAGCCATTTCCTTCAATTTTTTTTTTTTTAAACACAGGAAAAGATGAACAACTTGTTCAAGGTCACGAAGATGGCAAGTGAGGGAGCCCAGATTAGATCAGAAGTCTAATTCCTGAAAGTATGTTTGTGATATTGTGAAATATATATTTGCTCTTCATCTCGATTTCCTAAAGCCCTTGGAATCTCTAAAATTGTAAGAATGTTATTTGCATGCTAATGAAATGAATGTTGCTGAGTAACCCTGGATAGCTTCAGGGTGGGGTCTGGTCACTGGAAAGATCAAAGCATGATGAGAAGGTTGGAGCTTTCAGGGCCACCCTCCAACTTCCAGCGACAGGACAGGGCTTGAAGATTAAGCTAATCACCAGCAATCTGGTGTATCAATTATGCCTATAGACTGCAGGGGCAGAAATGAAGTAATCCCTTTCCTCCCCATCATATATAACCATAGCAGATACCCCTATAACAAAAAAAAGTTAACAAGGAAAATCCTAACAAAGTGATTGCATGCATGTGTGTGCACAGGAGTCATACAAAATGTGAAAACTCAAAACTCAAAAGAAAGGGCCAGATAGACGGCTGACTCTTAAATATCCTTTTCATTGGGGAAAGTGGGGGAGCTATAAATAAATGGGCCTGAAGATCAGACAATAGTTTGTAAATGCGACTGGAGAACAGATAATAGACTGGGACAGGTCATCTGCGCTCCAGGTGTGGTGTTTAATTTTCAGTCTCTTCCTCTGTGATATGAGTTTTAATCTTCTCTAGTTAATGAAATTTCAGGGACGGAATCGCAGGCAACTGTGTTCCTCTTTGGGAGTCCAGTTTCTAGGTAAATAAGGGAACTCTGGTGAACAGTCTCATACTGTGCTTTCGGAGACACACAATTTGGGTGAAGGGAGTTGGAGAAGGTCAAGAGGTCTTGAGGCTGCTTCTTTAATTCAGCATGTCAAAGTCCCATGTTTTGGGGTACTGGTTTCTGAGCCCTAACATAATGAAGACTCCACAGAAACCCAGAAGGACAGGGTTCGAATAAGCTTTGAGACAGCTGAACACATGAACTATTCCTGGAGGGTGGTGCACCTGGAGAAGGCACAGAAGCTCCGTGACCCTTCTCAGTGTCCTGTCCTGTGCTATTCTCATCTTTCTGGCAGTTCATCTGCATCCTCTGCAATATCCTTTATAATAAACGGGTAAATGTAAATAAAGTGTTTCCCTGAACTCTGTGAGCTGCTCTAGCGAATTAATCACACCTGAGGAGGTGATCATGGGACCCCTGATTTCTAGCCAGTTGGTCAGAATCACAAACCACTAACTGCTTGTGACAGAGATCCAAAGTAAGGGATAGTCTTGTAGGACTGAGCCATCCACGTGTGGGATCTGACACTATCTTCCAGTAGATGATGTCAGAATTGAACTGAATTAGAGGACACCTGGCTGGTATCCACTGGAAAATCTGCAGTAAAGAACTGCTGGTTGTTGGTGGAGAGAAATCCCCACACACATTTGGTGAGAGAAGTGTTGTGTTGAGTGGAACATGAGAGTAGAAGAAAGTACTTCTGGTTTTTCCCTTTATCTCTAATAATATTCCTTCCCCTGCACTGAACTGCCTCCTCAGGAAGCACCAGGAATGAGAAGGACATGTGTCACTTGACAGACTTGTAATGATGAATAAAGAGACTAAAGAAAACCATTCTGAAAAAAACATTTGAAATTTACTTTGGCCACAGGATGAATAGCAGTCAGACATTCTTGACAACTGCTTCTGATCTAGTGACTATGAAACACAAAGATTCTCCACATATCATTAATAAATAAATAAATATATATGTGTGTATGCAAACTTGTATTAACTTTGCTTAATGTTTTAGCTTAATCTGACATTAATTTCTGTATGTTTAAGGTTCATTTATTATCCATGTAACATAGTCTTCTGCACATCTAATCATGACATTCTATCAGTTTTGAAGACATAGTTTGGTCACTGCATTTAATAGAGATACTGATTTGAAGAATTTATAACATTAAAAAAGTTTAATATTATAGACTGAATGACCAAACAGTTAACAAGTTATCTGAATATGAAGGACAGACAATACCCAATCCACAAACTTTTCTCATTCATACTCATACCTTTACTTGAAAAATAACTGACTGTGCTATTGACTACGAATAGGAGATAATTTTTTGTATGTGCTATTGACATAGGAAATAGTTTTAAGTGATATTAAATATAAACAAGATACTTGCCCCCCACTAAATTTTCAGATAACCTACAAAGTGGGGAAAGCTTATCATAATGTCAAAATGATTGGGTTATCCAAATAAAGGCAACTGAACACCTTTAAGTACATTCTATACCTTTCAACCAAAAAAACCTTATAAAGTCCTCCCTGCCCCCAGAGAATTTGAGTTCTTACAACATTTGCACAGAAAACAAGTGGCAAAGGAACTTTCTCAAACTAATTTTAAAAAACAAAACAACCCACAAATCCTGTTTTTAAATATTTTTAGACAAAAGAAAAAATACTGAACATATTTTAAGGAACGATTTTGAAACAAGCAAGGAAAAGGTCACAACTTTGAAACCAGTTATAACTGCACCTGGATAGTCCCAAGACAGAAAGTTAAGTAGCTCAACAGGTTCTACTGCTATTTTGAATCACAGGAATAATGTGTTTAAGTAGTAAAAATACCCTTGGGACTAGTTATTTTCCATAAAAGTTAAAGGAAGTTAAGGCAAATATAAAAAAAAATCCTAATTTATATACATGTAAACATTCTAAATGTGAAATTGTTGTTCGGTTTTATAATGCACTGGTAACTTTGTGAAGAATTAAAATTAAAAAAATAAAAAGACCTTTACATTTTAACCCGGAATTTAAAACAAGAATAAAAACCCTCTCAATATTAAGCCATTATCAATGAAGAGGTTAGTTGCTTATTATAATATTGTATAATATTTTGCAATGAGTAATACATTGACATTTATCTAAAAAAATCATTTAAAAAACCTGAAGTGAATATAACTAAAAGATAAACTCTATTACTTATCACAGATTACTCCTATATCTTAACTGACATTTTTCAATTAATGAAGTCTAAAGGAGACATTTAGAACCATAACATTCTCCTATTGGAAACTGATGAGAAGAGAAAGAAATCGTGAAACAGGGGAGAAGTTAAATAATTCATGCCAAAGGCTCACCAAATAATTATAAGATACCAAATCTTCCAAATTCACAGAAAATAGTTCAAGTTTAATTTCAGAACACATCTCCAAATTATCAAAGGCATCCAATTTTACATTATGTTCTCCATTAATAATAAACTGCAATATGGTAAACAAGGGGGAAAAACTGAGATATTTTAACATATATCCAGATTTCATATTTAAAACTGATAAGCACATATTAATCAGAAAATATGTGATCAGAATGTTTACTAGAATTCTGTAACAATTCTAATAAATATACAGTGTTTTAAAAAATGGAGGCATGTACCTTCCTGTAAGGGTGGGAGACAGCTAACTGCAACTAGAATGTTTCATTGCATTAATTCAAACAAGAAAAATATTCAAATTTTCACTGAAGTACAACTATAGTTTCATGTATAGCTTCTTCTAAGAGACAAAGTGAGGCAAACCTGATAGCCCACATGATCAAAAACCTTATTATATAATCAGGAACGTATGTAACATAAAGATATAAACATATGGTCACTAAACCAGAGGGAAAAAGGCAATGCATTAAACATTAGAATTAGAAATTTAACCTACAGGCCATTTTGTGGCCTAAACCACAGGCATATGCTGAGTATCTTTCACACCTGAGCATATGAAAGAAAAATTCCATATTTTACGCACTGAGGTTCAAAAACAAATTGATGGGCAATTTCCAAAAATGCTTAATTTGGGAGAAAAACACTTCATAAAACTACCTTTAGATTATATGCTTTGTTACAGCATTGCAACATGTTTCCTGAAGTGCTATAAATTATAAAATAATGTAAGCATTTGGCAAGTTTCAAATTAACATGTGGAGCTCACTGAAATGTAGTATGCTTTACACCCAAGCACAGAATAAAATAGCTCCCTCCTAATAACAAAGAAAATAACAAATTATTTATTAAACAAATAAAATACATAATTAGAAAAACAGTACTCACCTTCAACAATAACTCTCCATGTTTTCATTTCACATTTTTATTTATTCATGTATTTCTCATAATATTTAGACATCTTCCATTGGAGCACCAAACATGAATTCTAATTCTGGATATAAGCATAGGCAAAAGCATACAGACACTTGCCAAGCTGCTGGGATGTGTATACTTCTTACATAATTTTCCTTTTATGCTTGTTTGTTTTGCTTTTTACCTATACAGAATGTGGATGCATCACCAAAAAATGAAAAGGCAGGCTCATTTCATGGAACTGAAAAACAAAGCTATAAAAAATTAATTTTCAGTATTTTAAATAAAGGCATGAAAATGGAAATAACATTTAGACCAAACAATACTTATATCAAGTATTAGCTTATTTTTAAATTAACTCCTTTAGTCTCGACAACCCTATCAGGCAGGTGCCATTATAAATCCAATTTAGTGGACTGAGGAAAATGAGACACAGAGAGATTAATAATTTCACCCAAAGTAACACAACTAAGTAACTGGCAGAATCAGCACATGAGCTCCAGAAGCTGGGCTTCATAATTATTGGCCACTATGTTACAATAATATCAAAGATTCAAAGCATTTCCATTAAACCAAAAAGTTGGCATCATTTTTATTGCTAAAATAAACACAAGTTATGTCTGCTTTAAGTATTACAGCAACTATTTATTGAACACCTAAAACACAGTTAGCATTAATAATAGCATTTATTGAGTACTTAATATGACAGGTACTATACAAATGAACCCTACTTTATATTCACCTTATAAGTCAATCCAGGCAACCACCATACCTACTTTGCAGATAAGAAAACCACTGAGGTATGGAAACACTGCCTGTCCCTCCTCCAAATCCCGTAGCAAATTCACTTGTGGAGTCCAGATGGCAACACGTGTCTGATGTCAAAGCCCATGCTTGTTAAAACACACTGCAATACCTACAAATCTGACCCCAACTACCAAAGAAGGGCCTTTTGTCCCAATATCCAGAGCCTTATGTCATGTTGGTGGTATAATAACAAAACTGAAAAGATACAATAAAAATTTAAATTAACAAATTTAAAGCAATTTTAATACATTTTTAATAAATTTAGGTTAAGTTTTTCGTCTACAAGCATACTGTTTTTCTGCTTTAACTACTCCCAGTGTAACCATACTTTCTTCTGCTTTTCTCTGAAAACATATTCAAGTAGATCCCTGCCAGCTAGACTATTAATACACTTTTTCTCTGGAAGAAAAAATGGTCTCACATTTCCAACAAACCTTTAATTACATTAAAAATTCAGGCCTCTGTATACTATTATTGCCAAATCTTTTATCAACGTTAATTGGTTGGTATTCCAAGTCAGCTGAAGTAAACATCCACCTCTCAGCCAATCCATGTATTACAGCTGAGTGTAGGATGTTTACATGAACTGAAACTCAGTTTAAAGCAGGACTTAAACTCTTCACCAAGTTTATATGGTCCTTTACCAAAGACTCTGTTGAAAAAAAGAACAGGTACAGCATTCACATAAATGAGGTAAGAGTCAACCAGAAAGATACACTGAGAGAAAGTGTATAATCCAAGGAAAAGACAGAAGTAAGCTGGGTGTTTTTTTTTTGGTTGAGGGGGGCTGTCCGGGGTTGGGGGGGCACTACAGGCATGCTACTATGGCTAATTTTTCTTATTAAAAAAATTTTTTTTAGAAAGAGGGTCTCATGATATTGCCCACGCTAGTCACAAAGAAGTAATACTCTTTTCACCAAAGGAATTTACAACAATAAATGCAGACATCCTGTAGCATTCCATATCTAAATGTAGCAATTGTCCACCCTTCCTATATCCTTCCCTTCAAAACAATCAAACTCGCATTTATAAGAACTTACTTGATGACCAGTATGATGCATCCACCCATCTTCATTAAGATTCCTGCTTTAGGTAAAAGACAGTTAATGAAGCACTGTGAGGAGCTTAGTCATCTCTCCTCCCCCTCAACCCTCTCCCTCATCTTCTCCCCCACATTCAGAATTCAGATAATTTCATCTCAGGCACATCTTTCCCACACTCTGATCTCTTTCCACCTTCTACTGTTCCCAGTGTCATTAAGGTGTCTCAAAGAAATGTCTCCCCCTCTTTCTGCATTCTTTCTGATTAAAAATACATTACCACAAATACCCCTACTAACTATTACCAGTGGTCCTACCAATACACTTACGTCAAAGAAGAGGGAATCTTCAAATCTGTAAGTAAAATTACATATAATAACCACTGCCAGCAAACTTTAAAAATCTTTAGCATTTCAGAGGCATCCCAGGACTTTTAGGAACCTAGAACGTCTCTACCTGGCCTCTTGTCCCCTTCAAGGTGTTTTCCAGAAGCTTTGGTTCTCAAAATTAAATACACATATACTATCTCCCCCCACAAGCATATTTCTTTTTCTGTTTTAACTACTACTACAACCATATTTTTTTCTTCTGCTTTTCTCTGAAAACACATTCAAATAGGCCCCGCCTAGCTAGACAATATATTTTTTCTGTGAGAGAAAAAATGGTCTCACGTTTCCAACAAACTTTTTTTATAATCCAACTTCTGGATTACAACATGTTTTTAAGTTAAGGATTTTCCTCTGTTTTACTTAATGTATTAATTGAGCATAATATCTAACAGGAAAAGAATGTAAGATGAGCTCTGCGATTCTGAAAGCATGGGCCTAGAGGAGCACCATCAGCAGTACTTGGGAACTGTGGGGAAAAAAAGCACATTCTCAAGTTCCACCCCAGACCTACTAAATCAGAAACTTTTTTTTGCAGGGCCCAGCAATCTGTGTTTTAATCAATAAGCCCTCCAAGATATTCTGATGCAAGCTGATATTGAAAAGCAATGTACTGTTTCACCAAATTTGTTGAAAAGCCAAAGCAAAGACAGCAGTGAATGTCAAATTATTAGAACGTTTGTAATATGCTATAGATAAGCAAAAGGCAATGTCAAAATAGGATGAGTCCAACCACAATTAACCAGGCCATGTAGAGTGTGGCAGAGACTATCTGAAACAGCATAATTTTAAAAAGTAACTAAGCCCAAACTGATACCCAAACTTAAAAAAGAAACAAAAAATATTCTCTGAGCACACACACAGCAAATAATGCACATTCATCCAATGAATAAAGCTCTAACAAGAGTAGAAGCGATCAAAGTCAGATAGGGTTTATAGGTTCACAGTCCACTTCTGGGTGACCTCAAGCCCATGACTCATGTAGAAGGAACTGAGGGGTGGAGATCAACGACAGCATGTCCAACTGTGTAGTTATATGACTATTTTCTAACCAAGAGTATTTGTACAAAAGCATTTAGTTTGAAATAAATTTGAAGACTTAATTCTGTAGTTATTTGCTTAAAAAGAAGTAGTCCCTAAGTGATTTCAGACCATATACTAAGGATAAAATACTGTCATTTGCAGCATGGTGTTCAGTAACTAAAAATGTTTTACCAATTGGTTCAACAAATCTCAAATAATAAATAATTTCTGAGCTTTCTAAGCCCTATCAATGAATATCACAATTTTTTCCTAAATACTAAGGGCTAAGTTATTACAGGTTTACTGACAAATACTGATTGATCTAACATTTCAAGGCATTTGCTATAAATAATCAATTGCTAACCTTATAGGCCAATGGGAAGTTAGTGGTTTTTCAACTTAAAAACATAAAGAAGTCATCTGAAAACTACTAAAAAAGGTTGTACTTACGTATTATACTACACTGAAGCAAGGGCATCCAGAATTAAAGCTGACATGGTCTTTGATTCACCTCATTAGGGCAGAATAATATAGAACAAATGTTACATAACACAGATTGCCCCATTAATCCTGCAGCATCTAGGGATAACTGGCCTAGCTGGGCAGAATATAATAGCTTTATTAGAAAGAATCCCTACCCCCTCTTTTAGCTTAGGTTTGGCCTTACCATTTTGAAAAACCTTTCCAATTTCACTGTATAAATTATTAAATTATGCAGTTTCTACCCATCTTACTAAACTTTAAAGCTATATATGAAAATTTTTCATAAGAAATAAACAGTGTCACCTGGTCAAACAAAATAATCCTATTACTAGAGAACACATTACATTCTACCTTCGGCAGGGAACACTTCTGAGCTCTCAGTAATAACTCCATCCATTCACTGCTATTTGAGTCTAAGGTTTCCAATGTGCTAAAACAGAGGGCCACAGAATATACAATAAGTCTGCTTTATTAAGGGTTCAGAGGAAGGGATGCTTGATGCATGCTAATCATCAAGTCTGAAAATTATATTTACAAGTTGGAAAGCTACTTGAGTCTGAAGCAACTATCTCCCGTCCCCAAATAAGTCTTGTAAACTACCACTCTAACAAAGGAGCATTTAAAAAACAAATGTTGTAGCACAAATACATCTGGGGTAACTACATTATGACCAAAACTGTCCTTTGGTCATCTGGATAAAAGATAAAAGGAAACAGTGAACACTGCTGCAATAAGATAATACAAATATCATTACTAAAGTACTATACATGCAAGGTGCTTCACCTGATGTTTATGATAGAAAAAAATAGAATTACCAAGATTTAATGTCTCTGTCCTCAGGAAGCTTATAATCTAATCAAAGAAAATAAGCATGTAAAAAATTAGATTGGCAAAACCTTTATCTTTTGGGTTAATTATGTACTGAACCTTAGTATGATGTCTAACAGTTTACTAATAATAAATGATTTCTAAAAAATGCTTTATTGAAAAGAAAAATGCCAATAAGAAAAATGCCAATAAAATAGAAACGTTTTCCAGCATCTAAAAGACAGAAAAACAAATGTTTAAAGCTAAGAAAACAGCTGTCATAAAATTATACATGATCAATTAGTCCACACTGAATGCCATCTATGAGAAAAGCCCTGGAGTATTTAGATCTGTGGGGAAACACAAAAAGGAGATACAACGCAGCTGATTACAGGGCAGCTATATTTTAAGGAGGAAGCAATCAATCTGAAAGCAACAATCTGAAAACACTTAGGAAAATATATTAATCTAAAAAGACAAGCATAACCATTAGCAAATGTAAACAGGCTTAGTGGTTGACGTCTTGCAGTTTTTCTTAGAGGGGAGTTCTGATTAGGAGCTGTGACATCACTCAGGGTGAGAAGAACAGGAAGTAGGGGGCTAAGAGGAGCAAGAAAAATGTTGCACACACATTTCTTAAGTACAGGGAAAGGTGAAATTTCTAGATTGCATACTGCTGGGTGGCAGTGATTAAATTATTCTCCAGAACTTCTACAGAATTCATAATGGAGAAAATCAGTCTCTTGAACTGTTGGGAAGTTAAACTCCAGCCTACTTGGAAAGGTTATAAAGAATAAAGTTTCATTGACAGGGAAGAAACAGGAATAAGTGGGGACAATTTTTACTTAACTACTAAATTCTCTAAGGCCCAGCAGCAGCACGCTAACTTTGAAGCTGAGATGGTGTATCCTGTTATTAGGAGAGCACCCTACATTCAACTATCATAATACATGCACTGTCAGTGCAGTAAAAGAAGACAGCTAAAGATTTCTGAGGTTTTTCCACGTTTTATAGCCTCTTCAACTCCACTCCGGGATAGAATTATATCAAGAAGATGTCTGTGAATAGCCGGTAGCAGCAAACATCTGACTGAAAGCTTAGTTGTATCTTACAGCTTCCAGTCGGGGATGTTTACAACAACAGACTTTCTGAACGAGAAATTAACAGAAGGAACAGATATAAATGTTGCCAGTCATCATCTTCAGCTAATAATTTATATAATTTCTAGTGCTGAACAACAGCTGTGACATCTTGAAACAAAAATGATCAAGTTAATGTTACTAATTAAAAAGAGAGTAAGTGATTCGTCAAGTGCAATTTCTCCTAAATAAGCTAATTTAAAAAGAAAATATGCATTACAAATTTATCTTGGTAAATAAGAAACATTAAAGATATTACCTTGATATTCTACACGAGGGTACATTTTTCTAACATAAGAAAAAATGAGTTTTTCTCTCCCTAGAGTTTCAAAATAATAAACAACACATTAGAATGATAACCCTAATGATAAGAATGACCATACATCTAATGTATGCCTGTTGCCCTGACATTACTGTTAAAAGTGACTCCTTTTATTTAAAAAAGCGTTAATTTAGATGACAATGGACACAGTTGGTTTTCCTGGCAGAAGATCTAAACTGAGTAAGAATCTAACACTTTCTTACCCTATCCACAGCTGATTTAGGTTAGAGATGTACAGTTCATGGAAATGAGCAAAGCAAAGAGGATAATAAAAAGAGCTCATGACTTTGAATTTGTTTATAAAGCAATATACTAAAACCATTTTATTTCCACACAACTTTTCTGAAAGAAAGACTAAGCGAAATATAAGTAAATCAGCACTTCATCAAAAACCAAGATTTGCTTTAATTTAAAACATGTAAAATTCCCAGACACAGTGGCATAATCCCAGCACTTTGGGAGGCTGAGGCAGGTAGATGGGGGATTGCTTGAGTCCAGGAGTTCAAGACCAGCCTTCTGCGGCGTAGCAAAACCCCATCCCTAAAAAAATATGAAAAAATTAGCTGGGTGTGGTGGTACAAGCCTGTGGTCTCGGCTATTCAGAAGGCTGAGGTAAGAGGATCCCTGAGCCTGGGAGGCAGAAGCTGCAGTGAGCTGAGACTGTGCCACTGCACTGCAGCCTGGGTGACAGAGTGACACCCTGTCTCAAAAAAATAAAAATAAACATGTAAAGTAACTTTCTTTGAGGAAAGAAAAACTATTAAAACAAAGTCCACAATTAAGTCACAGTGATTTAGAAGAAATGAACATACATACATATATGAGCATGCATATGTACACACACACTCTACAGAATAACTACTGAAAAAAAAACAACATACAAATTCTGAAAGGCTACTAATTTCCTAATACCAAGTTTTTTCAGAAACTGTGGAGAAAAGGATTTCAGTTGCTATTTACCCTGTGATAATACTTAATGGTTGATCTCTGAAATATTTTTTCATGTTGTAAATAACTCTACCCATTATATAAATAATGTTGTAAATAATGAGGAAAGTGCATGTGGTCTCTATGGATACAAGATGACCTTCATTGTTTTTGAAGACAAATACTTTTTAAAAAAGTCCAGTGGCTATTTACAACAACTATTCAAACTGTTCTACAATTGAAACTTTCCAGATTTAAATTAGGAAAAAAAAAATAGCTATTTCATGTCCAGGTAGGCATATGATGCTTGACTAATGAGGATGCTGCACATTAAGTTGCAATGAACCAGTTACTACAAGTCTCCAAATTTCCCCTTTAATTTACCTTCCTCTTCTTAGTTCATTTTTTTAAGATTAATCTAAAGACATTTTTATCAGAGCCACTGTATTTAATTCACACAAACAATACATAGAATCTTTTCTTCAGAGTTATGAAGGAATTGTCAAATGCTGTGACTTTGTATAATATATTCTTGAATAAACATGAAAATTAAACGTACAGAAGTTGAATAATTAAGTACATGTCACAGGAAATCCTATTTATAAAATACCTTCTATCGTTACAAAATATCTTCTAGATACAATCTTTCATATAATAACACACAGTAAAAAGGTCAAATCTAGTGAGGGGATAGCTGAAGCTAAAGGATTACCATTTTTGGCATGCTCCATGATTTCCATCTTTGTCAAAAATATATTACATATTTGAAGGTCAATTTTCTGATTATTAGCATTAGCATTTTACTTTTAACACATCTTGTTAAAAATAGGCAAAACACACACGCATACATACAATCTGCTGTACAGACAAAAAAACGATTACTGAGCTACTGACTGCAATAGTGCTACTGGTTCAGTAACTGGAAATGTTTGTCAATCAATCTATCAAAGGCAGTTTATGAATATCCATATACAATGTACGCTATGCCACATTTGCCACAGATTCTATCCTACTACAGATGTCTCAAGTACAATGCTGAAAACAAGTTAGATACCTAAATACATCTCTTCCTGTGTGAACAATCCATAATGAATACAAGCTGTTATCTCCCAACAGTATTGTTGTTAGAGAGTTTTACTGGGTTTGTAAAATTTTACGAGAATACATAAGAAAACAATGAACAGGAAGCAACATTTTGTAACTTAAGATAAATATTCTGAAAAAAACAAAACAAAACAAAACAAAAACGCTCAAATGAAGTAAAATTCTGAATTGGCCTAGATTTCACATCCCTTAAAAGCAATCTATTAATTAGTTGAAATTCAGCGGTGTCTAGGAACTTGCTCAGAAATGACTAGCTACAATTTGACTCTGAACTTTGAAATAAGGCAGGGCAGCTGGGAAGGTAAATACAAAGAGTAGTGGCACTGTGATGACAGGGAGAAAACACTTGACAGAAGGCAAGAACTCACAAACCACTGAAAACTGACCATGCAGCAGAAAACACCACCAAATACAAGGGGGAAAAAAAAACAGGCACCCCCAAAGAGGCTCTATTCTTGTTTTCAATCCATTCAATAATAATTACCATTCTCTATATATCCAATGTTAAATAAACAGAGACAAAAAAGAAAAGGAAAACATTATCTAAATTAATAAACTCAATCCACTTGAACGATTTACAAAATAGCTTACTTTATTAAGAAAGGTGATTAGGACAGAAAGATGAAAATGCTTCCTGTTCTATGATGCTTATTTATCACTTACTCAGTATTACTAACTGCCCTTTGTAACAAAAGCTTCAAAGTGCTTTTATACATTTTCTTGTCCTTACGCAGTAACTACTTTTAAGGCTAGTAGCTGGGCAGATAATAATTCTATATTACACACGAAAAAGAAGGTACAGATTGGGGAAACGATTTGGCTAAGCTCACACGGGTAAGGAGCTGAGAACAAATTCTGGTTTTCCTACCATGCGCGCGCACACACACACACACACACACACACACACACGCAGAAATGTATATAGTATGTGTGTATGTGTGTTTGAACACTGGGCCCTGGGAGAAACAAAGACGAGCAAGCTGAGGAGTCCAAGGAGAGCCTGTTCTGCGATTAACAATGCTCACTGCCTAAAAGGTTGAGACTAGACCAGACTCAAGAGCCCTACAGTCTGGTTACTACCAGCTGGCTGTGGATTATGAGTACAGCATTTACTCTTTTGCCTTTGTTTACTTTACACACAAAATGAGGCTTAGGCAAAACAATTTTAAATCAGTGGGAAAACATACCAAATTCTGATCAGGCAGGCCCAACCACAGAAAGCCATTAGGTCTACGAGCTACTATCTAGGAACAACCAAGTACCTGGTGACTACCTCTGAAGACATCTAAGCCTGGTAAACTGAAGTCCGGAAGACCGTGACAGAAGTCACAGAGAATGGTAATATCTGCAGTCCCAACTTCTTGCCTGAATTCTGAGGACACCTGAAAACGATGAAATGCAACATGAAGATGAAAGCAGTGTGAAACGTATTGCCCAATAGCAAAGTACACTTTAATCATCACTGTGACATCTTACTTGTACGCATGTTCATAACTTTTATGTAATTGGATTTTTATAATGATAACTGAGAAGTAGGCAAGATGGGTACCATTATCCCTGCTAAACACAGCTATCATCAGTTCTGCTGCAATAATATCTGCTCTCTGAAGTATCCATTTCAGATATTGTGACTATAAGACTCAAATTAATTGTCAAATGAAAGTTTGCCTAAGATACTATAAACTGTCAAAATATATCCATCCCATAAAGGATGTGGCAGCTAGACTGTTTTTAACCCTTCCCCTACTTCTGTCACCTCTAACAGGAACACATCTTTTTTTCTGCTGTATGACCACAGTTCAGACACACAAAATACCCTTTGGTGTTGTTGGTGCTTAGGTCTGTGAGGCAGAGAAACACAGATCCCCTTCTCCATAATTCTGAACCAAGCATCATCACATACTCACACAGTACACGGCTTGATCTAGGCCAGTGGTTCTCAATGCACTCCAAACCAGAGGCATCAACATGGCTAAGGCAACTGTTACTAAAGCAGTTCTCAGACTCCTACCTCAGACCGACTGGATCAAAACCAGAGGGATGGGAGCCAGCAGTCTGTTTAACAAGTACTCCAGGTAATCCTGACACATGCAGAATCTTCAAAACCATTGATACGGGCTTTTATCTATAGTCTCAATAACATGCGTAAAGCCTAATTAACAACACAGCCTTGCCATTAGGTTGACCAACTGTCCTCAATAGTATTTTAAAAAACTGTTTTGGTTTATGCAGGACTGAGAGGGTTCCTTGGACAAGAGATTCTAAATTTAAAAACCAGGACAGTCCTAGGCAAACAAGGATAATTTACCTTGTGATTATAGATCAAAGCTGAAACAACTATTCACTTAAGATGGAGTGGTGCTATTATGGACTAAATGCATATTGCATTTTGAGTGGAGGGTGAAGGTAACATTAAAATCCTGGGATGCATGAATGGATACTTTTGTTTATCATAGTAGCCAGTGCCTTCTTGGATTCTTGAAACTGTGTCCACTGAAAGACCTAGGTCATAAATACAGTAACATTTGTCACCACCAACACACAGAGCTGAGTGTTAAGATCACTTAGAACAAGAGAATCTGAGTGGGTTTGTAGCCCCACAGCACTCAGGTAACTGAAATGCAGAGATCCTAAACTCTGCTTTAGAGACTTAAGTAAATACCATGAACTACACCTAAAACAAAACTGATAAACAGTATAGATTCTAGAGTGCATTCCATGATTCATATATACAATAATACACTTAAGTTTCCAAGAATCCTGGAGGGCAGTACTATATAAATGCATCACTATAATGCAACCTACATTTCAATAAGTATATTTTATTTTCAAAGTCCACACCTGGAGGAAAATTGCTAACTTCAGTCTCAATATATAAGCAAAAAGAGATTTCAGCAAATAAGGATTTAAGAGACCTTAACTGTAAACCTTACTGACACAGAAAATATGTGTATAATGCTCAACAGATGCCAGGCTCTGAAACAATTCTTATTGCACCCAATTTCAAAGCAGTTTTAATTTTCTGAAATGCTTTTCAGAAAAGCATTTTCAAGCTTTTCTAGTAAATAATCTACTTCACGCTCTACTTGAGAAAAACAATCCTCTTTACAGACAAGAGAGATAAATGACTCTCCTTACCAATTTATCCTTCATAAAGTCTGACTATTTATACTGTTTCCTGGAAGAGGCCACACCTGTTCCTTCAAATTCTTATCCTTCCACTTATAACTAGCTATGTAATCTTAAGTCATTTAACTGCTCTACATCAGTTTCCCAATCTGTAAAATAAGAAAACCCTGTAAAAGAATAAAAGCTCTCACAGAACGGTTGTGAATATTAAATAAAATTATGTGAGTATAAAAACATTTGAAACAATAATTCAATGTGCAGATGTTAAAAGCATTTATAGATCTGTAGTCACATTTTATTTGAAAACCTTCCCCCTGAAAGTCTGTATCTGAATAACCTGCTGACCATGAGGGGCATAGTC